TGAGCACATCCCCTGAGGATATGGAAGTTCTGCGCTGGGATCCATCCTGGACCTCTCACCCTATTGTGTTTGTATCCTTTCTTTCCTGGACTAAAGATAGGCCTTTGCCTGGAGTTTGTGAATTGTTCCAACAGATTATCAGACCTAATAAACAGAAGGGCTGGGTACTCCCCACCTGGCCCCAGGTGATTAGGTATGAGAGAGAGAGAGGGATGGTGCCCCCTGACCTAACACCAGGTGAATAGGTATGAGAGGGAGATGGAGACAGTGCCCACTGACCTAGCCCCAGGTGAACAGGGATGAGAGGGAGGTGAGGACAGTGCCCGCTGAGCTAGCCCCAGGTGAATAAGGATGAGTAGGAGATGGGTATGGTGCCCACTGACATGGCCCCAGGTGAATGGGAATGAGAAAAGGAGAGGATGGGTAACTGCTGACTTGGCCCCTGGTGAAATGGGAGGAGAGAGAGAAGGGGTGCATTCCTACTGACCTGGACCCAGGTGAATGGGGATGAGAGACAGGGTGGCTGAGGTCTGAACTGACCAGGAAAGGAAAGCTGAGAATTCCACAGGACACAGTTGGTTATGTGAAATGGCATTTATTATCCATCAGAGATGGACGATCTTGGTCTCCCTGAACTGGTTTGGGACAATCAGCAATGAGGGTGGGATCCACTTGCATAGCCCTGATATCTCAGCCATGCTGGGCAGAGAGTCAGGGAGGTCTAGGTCAAATTCCAGCCTCACAAACATGTGCCATGACCTTATCAGACATCTTAACCTCTGAGCTTCAGCCTCCTCACTTAAAAATGGGAAAAATACTGCCAGTGACTATGTAGAGCTGCCACAGTGGTTAAAGCATCCTACATCAAACAGGTGTGTGTTGGTGTGGGTCCCCATCAGGATGAATATAACTAAATGCACACTCCCAGTAAACCAGTTGCCATGGAGTCGACTTCAACACATGGCAACTCCATATGCCATCAGTCCATTCCAACTCACAGCACCCCTAGAGGACAGAGTGGAACTGCCTCAGAGGGTTCCCAAGGCTGTCAATCTTTACAGAAGCAAAGCCCAAACCAAACCCACTGCCACGGAGTCGATTCTAACTCATAGTGCCCCTAGAGGACAGAGTGGAACTGTCCCATAGGGTTTCCAGGGTTGTCAATCTTTACGGAAGCAAAGCCCAAACCAAAGCCATTGCCGTGGAGTCAATTCCACCTCACAATGCTTCTGGAGGACCAAGTGGAGCTACCTCATGGTGTTTCCAAGGCTGTCAATCTTTACAGAAGCAGACTGCTTTATCGTTCTCCCATGGAGCAGCTGGTAGGTTGGAACTGCTGACCTTTCGGTTAGCAACCAAATGCCTTAGCTAATGAATCACCAGAGCTCCTACTATTCTCTTAGTAATTAAGGATTTCAAAGGATGTAAAAACTTGTGAATAACTGAATCTTAGAAGCTAGGAGAATGACCCTTAGCAGCTGTCCATGCTTCATTTTCTGGAGGAAGGAGAGCTTATTAAGAAAGGTGTTTTAGAAGTGCTTCAGGTTGCTTGTCAAAGCACTGGGGGATGTCTAAGTAATGTGGGTCAACATGGATAAGGATAATAAAAATTACATCCTAGGATCACTGTGCATTTGAAGTTAGAATCCAATTTAAAGGCAAAGGGAACACATATAATTCAAGTACATTCCATTAAAAAGAGAAACCAACAAAACAAAAACCCACTGCCAGTAAGTCAATTCCGACTCACAGCGACCCCCACTGGCTTTCCAAGGTGGTAAATCTTTATGGAAGTAGATTGCCTCATCTTTCTTCCACAGAGCAGCTGGTGGGTTTGAAACACCGACCTTCTGGTTAGCAGTCAAATGCCTTAGGCACCATGCCACTAGAGCTCCTTAGAAAAAGAAAAGCTATCCTATTATAAAGAACAGATAGTAGAGAGCTATTTTAATAGCCATCAGGACAAAAGCAAAGAAACCAATGCAACCTGGAAATGTTTCTAAAAGTACATACATTTCATAGGAATGGTTTAATTACATAGACAATATAAGAAGACATAATTAGTGAGAATCACTCAAAAGGAAAATAAGCCATATTTTCAAAGGATAAAAGGCAGCAGGCTGCTTTTGTTTTTAATTCAAAGTGGGAGGATAAGGGAAATTATGGCTTTCTCCCATCTTTGCTTTCTAAATAAAAATGTATTTGTACCCCAGTAACCAAGTCCTAAGAAGTTTCACTAAGTGAGAAACTATTCCTTGGGATCTTCTTTGAAAATTGTTTTCCGTTTTATGTTTCTATGTAAGATTGTCCCTTGAGTGTGTGACAGTTGCTGTGGAATTGACGCCAGCCCATGGCGCCCCCATGTGTATCAGGGTAGAACTGCAGTCTATAGCATTTCCAGAGGTTGGTTTTATGGAAGTAGATTGCCAGGACTTTTAAGGAGCTCTGGTGGCACAGTGCCTAAGATATTTGACAACTAACCAGAAGGCTGGCGGTTCAAACCCACTAGCCATTCCATGGAAGGAAGACTGGGCAACCTACTTCCGTTAAAGATTTACCACCACAGAAACCCAAAGGGGGTCACTGCGACTCAGAATGGACTCAATGGCAGTGAGTTTGGTTTTTCTGTTGCCAGGACCTTCTTCCAAGGCACCTCTGGGTTTCTGGGTTGACTCAAACCTCCAATCTTTCAGTTAGCAACCAAGTGTGCTAACCTTTTGCACCCCCAGAGACTCCATGAGTCTGTACGATTACCTAAAAGCAAGAAAGAACCTCCTGTGGACTGCAGAACCCACTATAAAGATCTTTTCAAAGTCAATCAAAGCTACCAGGAACCACAGAAGAGCCGCCTCTTAGTGTTCTTTGACTGCACAGCTGCAGCTCAGGGGAACCTGGGCTTCCTTGGCCAGATTCTCATGACGGTCAGCATTTCACAGGAGAGTTGTATTGATCTGGAGACCTTAAGGATGCCAACTCCACCTTGCCAAGGAGCTCTGGCAGCACAGTGTCTAAGGCATCTGACTGCTAACCGGAAAGTGGGTGGTTCAAACCCACCAGCAACTCTGTGGAAGCAAGAGTGGGCAATCTACTTTGGTAAACATTTATCACCTCAGAAACCCAGTGGGGGTCACTATGAGTCAGAATCGACTCGATGGCAGTGGGTTTGGTTTTTGTTTTTTTTCATTTCCAGTATTCTCAGCCCCACACTGAACTGCTTAGGGATTTGCAGCCTGCCAACTTTCCCGTACCCCAGATATTTTACCCAGTTCCCTGCCTTGAACATTTTCCTCTTGAACTGGCTACCTCCAACCCACCCTTCCAGAGAACATAACCAACTCTGCAGTGACACGGTCCCGACCTGAAGGCCAACCCACCAGATAGATGTTCTCACAGGGCCTGGGGCACAGCACTCTGCAAAGCCCTGTCTCTGCATTCCACTACGCTCACTCACCCACCACTTCCTCTCCACCAACGGTTCTGAGTGTGGGCGTCAGCATCACCTGTGTTTCATGCTAGAATCCTGAAGTAGTGAGAGTTATTCCCATATCAAGAAGGTCCAGCTAAAACAAGAACTCATATATGCAGCTCATTTTATCACAATGCATACCACATTTCTTCCAAATGTTCTACTCAACAGTATAACCAACCAAACATCCACAACTTCTCAGACCTTCCAACCCTCACACTCCCACACTTAGCAAACATGCCTGTTCCAGGGCCTAGCTATGGCTCCACCAATTCAGAAGCCAGTGAATGGGGCCCAGCCATCAGTGTTCTGGCATGATACACAGGTGCCTGTGATGTGCACTGAGGTCAGAGCCCCACTTCACAAGACTCCATCACACGCTATTCCTATCTCCCCAGTGCCTAGCCCAGTCTCTGGCATATGCTAAGAGCAAGCAAATTATATTTTTAATTGAAATGAAAATGCATGAGACAAGGCACAGAATAGATTTTTTTTTTTTTTTCTGTCCACTCTGGGAGTCTGCAAGGTCATCCACTTTTGGACCCAGACTCCAGAGACCCCATTCTCTGACGTTCCTTGCAGTGCCCAGCACTGCACATCCAAATCACTCCTGCCTTTCTTGATCCTCTCTGAGGAAGGAACCCTAGAGAAATTGAGGGCTGGTTCCAGAGTGGCAGAGAAGCTTTGAATTCCTTATAGCACTGGAAGCTCTCCAACTTTTATGAAGTCAAGAATTTCCAACCTGTGCACTAAGGAACCAAGTCACTTCCAAGTGAGAGTGAGGCCAGTGGATGTTTGTCAGTACCAGATCGACACCCCAACCGAGGTTAACCTGTTATCATACCGTACTACAAAGAGGAGACTTGTGTAAATGGTGAGTTCGCTTGTAACAAAGCACAAGCAGAAAGAACTAAGACGTGTGTGCATTTATCGCTCTGTGGACATTTTCTGGATACAGAAGTCCAGCAGGAGGATTTTAGGAGTCTCTGGGTGGTGCAAATGGTAAAGCACTGAACTGATTAAAAGGTTATGGGTTCAAACCCACTCTGAGACACCTCAAAAGTAAGGCCTGGTGATCTGCTTCTGAAAATTCACAGCCTTAAAAATCCTATGAAGCAGTTCTACTCTGCATGTGGAACTGTTATGCGTTGGAATCAACTCAACAGCAATTAACAGCAGCAGCAGCTGCAGGTGGTATTTTAACACTGAACAAAACCAAACCCACTGCCATGGAGTCGATTCTGACCCACAGCGCCCCTAGAGGACAGAGTGGAACTGCCCCAGAGGGTTTCCAAGGCTGTCAATCTTTACAGAAACAAAGCCCAAAACAAACCCACTGCCGTGGAGTCAATTCTGACTCACAGCGCCCCTAAAGGACAGAGTGGAACCGCGCCAGAGGGTTCACAAGGCTGTCAGTCTTTATGGAAGCAAAGCCCAAACCAAACCCACTTGCATGGAATCCATTCCCACTCACATTGCCCCTAGAGGACAGAGTGGAACTGCCCCAACAGAGTTTCTAAGGCTGACAGTCTTCATGGAAGCAGCTGTTGTCTTTCTCCCATGGAGCAGCTGGTGAGTTTAAACCACTGACCTTTTGGTTAGCAGCCAAATGCCTTAGCCACTGCACCACCAGAGTTCTTTTATTTTAACACATTGTCTATTAAATGTTTAGTAAGAGAAGCCATTTTACATTCTCCTAAAGAGACATTTTCTTTTCACATCATGTCAATCAGCTTTGAATCCTGAAGTAGTGAGAGTTATCCCCATATCAGAAAGTCCAGCTGAAACAGGGACTCATGTAAACAGCTCATTTTATCAGAATGCATAGTACATTTCTTCCAAATGTTCTACTCATCACTATAACCAACCAGAAGATCCACAACTTCTCAGGCCTTCCAACCCTCACACTCCCAGGGATGTACAGGCCAATCCTGCCTTGGCATTGTCCAAATTAAAAGCAGTAACTACCGGCCACACTAACCCACCCCAGTCCTGGACCGGAAACAAGACGACTTTCAAGCCTCACTCCTCCACCACTCTCTACTTCATGACCATCATAAACTGAAAACTATTACCCCAACAACATTAAAAGTAAGAATCTCACCACTTTTTCAAAAAGGAAACTATAAAAAAACGGTGACTAGCCATGGATCTGGGAAAGTATTTCCTAAATTGGATTTATCAACTAAAAAGTTGCTTTGAGGTTTCAGAAATGTGCACCAGGAGTGATGAAGTTCACAACTCTGACTGGACACCAGGGGCCCCTTCTGGAAGAGCCAAGGGGACAGAGTGAGCATGTAGCAGCTCCACGTCAACCTCACGGAAAACTCCACAGAGTGAAACTCACAGGAGAGGGAGATGACACGCGTCTTAACACAAGCTTTACCATCACAATCAACAAGGAGCTCTGGTGGTATAGTGGTCAAGGCATTTGGCTGCTAACCAAAAGGTCAGTAGTTCGAACAACGCCAGACATTTGTCACAAGTCTCCAAATAACTACTTTCTGGCTTATCTTTAAAATGAGTTTTTACCTCTTTCCACATGATGGTATGCCACATACCATTTCTTAACACTGAAAGAGAAAAAAGAAAGTATCAGTTAATATTAGTGATAATCAAAATAAAATCAGCTTTCCAAAATCCAGAAAGTTCCTTCCAAAATTCTGTTCATTAAGGCTAACATGCCATATCAATAATTAAGGTGTATGTTTAATATAAAGGCATAATATTCTCTCCACCAAAAAAAAAAAAGAGCCCTAATCTATGTAGCTATATAACGTACATACGTTAATCTATACATACACGTTGTTGTTGTTGTTGTTATTAAGTGCCATCAAGTCATTGATTTTATATATGTATATATATGTATATATATATATACACACACACACACACACAAATGTGTATATATACAT